AACCCACCTCCCATAAAGATCAATTATCCAAAGACAAATCATGGGCCATGTTCATTCAAGTGGACTTGCATGGCCCATGCAAGTCAACTTAAAGACACATGACCCATGACAAAATTAATTAATATTAGGATGTTCGGACTAGAGAACAACTGTGTGTGTATGTATATATATATTTCAAATGCTTGAAATGCATCTGTTAATTCATATTATTCAGGTAATTATGCTATCTACACCTTAATTCTGCTTTAGTCCAACCTGACCCTGCTCAACCCAACTTGTATCCTCTTGGCCTTCAATCTCAAAATAGCTCATAGACGCATCATTCTTCTTTATTCACCTTAACTAGAATGAATCAAGTTTTGGGCTGACCTATTCTAGTTTTGACAATTTTTTCGGGGCTGCTTAACATGTTTGATAATACTAAGAGGTCTTTTTGGCCCTTGGGGAGGTTTATTATTACCTATTGATTTCTGGTCCAATCTTGTATCTGTTCTGAATTATAGCAAGAAACAATTCGTGCAGCCTTAATATAGTTACTCACCTAAGTAACTAGATCCCTTTAACTACTGACAATTAACCATGTGTTTCAGTTTTTTGGTGTTAAATAATTTTTGTTCATTTTTATTCTGATTGACTTATGAATATTAGAATAATATTGAATTCCAAGTTGGTACAGTTGGGAATTTGAACTATAATTTTTTCAAGATCCTTTCATGCAGTTTGTTTTGAATGCATTTTTAAAAGTTATTTTGTATGGGAAAATATGCAGTTTAATATGATTTCCCAATTATCATATTCACTGTATTTCTTGGTGTTGGTCGTCAATTGCAGTTGTTTCTTATAATCAAGAGGAGCTTAAAGCGGTGCAGTGCTCTTACAAAAAGCAAGACATTATTCAATTTGTTCAAGGTTTGTTCTTTAAACTTGTCATGAATATCCATTAAATAATGCATATGTTGTATTTGTTGTCTGTGCTGCAGTAACATTTGTAATATATCAAAATAAGAAAATTATTTTAACCGGAGATTGAATTTTAATATAACCTTAAAACAGTACATTTTTTAAAGTGAAAGTCTTGATGGATTGAGTGCTCAAACAAAGATTAGGAAGCCTTTTCAAATGCCTGTTGCAGCTAGGGGTGTATAAGAGCGGAGCTAAGCTGAGTATCTAGCTACTCGAGCTCGGCTCGGCTGCTACACGAGCTTGAGCTCGAGCTCGGCCAAAATCGACTTTGTGTTGGTCAATTTATATGAAAAGTGCATAATGATTAGAATTCACATTCCATTTGGTTGTCGAGAAACTAAAGGAAAATAAAACAAATCGACTTTACTTACTGGAAACCAAACGCATTTCAAGCCAAAAAAACCAACCAAAAAGAAGACCACCGGAAAAGACTGCTAATTGGAAAAAGGCGACTTTACCTTTTCATATGCATAACTAAAACTAATTATCCTGCTGCAGCCAACAAGGGTTGGTCCATGGAGGTTGTTTTTAATAGCTATGAGAGAAAGAAAGGAGTTGCAGTTTTTTTCCTAAGAAGGAAGAAAGAAAATGTTGCTTTGTTTTTTATGCTTAAGAGAAGAGAGAGAATTTTTTTTATTAGCAGTCAAATGTCTTTTTCAATTAATGTTATGAATTCTGTGTCTTTTGTTGACTCCTCTACTGCCACAACGTCTTGAGCCCACCAATGACCAATCAAATGAGTCGTTCTTTGATTTTTATGAGGTGTGTTTGTCATTATTACATCATTATTACAAACTGATAAATTCTATACCCCCTAATAGTTGCAAAAATAGCATACACCCCCCTAAATCCGAGCTCGCTGAAGCTCATGAGCTTGTTGAGCCAAGTATTGGCGTGACAATATATCCGAGCCGCTCGAGCACGGCTCGACTTTTGTTGAGCCGAGCTCGAGCTTTTACTAAGCCATGCGGCTCAGCTCGGCTAACACACAGTTATTTTGAGAATACGGTATAAAATAATAAACCAAACGGACCCTTTGTCTGTTCTAGGCTCATGCATATAGTTATTCATTGAGAATCATTCTGCTTTCAGTGATGAATAAGCTTTGGTTATATGAAGAATTTGTGTTTTAGCTGTTTTTCTGAGAAAATTAGAGAAATTTTTGCAGACGCAGCGGTGGATAAAATTTGTTTTTTAGACGTGGTCTTCTGGTTCTAAACAATGTTGGAATACTTATGTTTTTTTTTTTTATCCATGGAGACTGGGAGTTTGTTTTAGCTTAAAATTGGGATCACTGTTTTTGTATTATTTTTACAATTATTAAAACTTGTATCTTATCAAGAAAAAAAAAAGTGAAATCAGTGTTTGGTAGTGTTATGCCGCAAACTTCCCTTTGCATCATTAAGTGTCTTGGAGCACACATCTTTACAGAATCAGATGTATTTTAACTAAAATATGAACTTAATTTATTGTATGTTAGCTTGAGAGAATTTTATGCTTAAAAATTTCCTGGAAATAAAAGACATCTATGTGAATGTTTAATGAGAAAGATGAATTCATTTCAATAGCAGTGGAATTTAGAATACCGTGGACTCTACTAACCTTGCTGCTAATTAGTTTTTTGTTATCAACACCATAAGGAAAATCCATAATTGTATCTCCTGGTGTTAGGTGTTCCAAAAAATTCTAAAAGCATATGCGACAAAGCTTTTTGCAAGACTTCCTAAGAGCGGTACAGGAATCGTTGCAGCAGCTACGGGTATGGACGGACAGATAAAGGTGCATTTGATTGAATATTTTATTTGATTTGTTCTTTTTTTTTGGGGGTGGGGGAATTACCTACAGTTTGTATTAAGCACTGATTTGTGTATGCTTTTTCTTTGACTATTTCAAGCAGACTTCTGACAAGGATGAAAGGTTGATTTGCTATATTGTAAACTCAGCTGAATATTGCCACAAAACGGTTAGTTTGTTTCTCTGTCTTGCTGCTTCCTTGTAGCCTGTTTTGAACTTTTGTTTAATCCAGCTTTTGTGACATAACAACTTTGCTGGTACAGTATAAGAATAAGGTTCAGATATTAAATTCTGTATTGTTCATTATTTCTCTCTGATCTGCATTTGTTGATACTCATTGAATCAAGGCAAAGTATTCTCAGTCATGCTCTTTGAGGTGGCTGGCATGTATGTTTTTTTGAATATGAAATTTCCATGATGCTTATGTTCTCTGTTGATGATTTGATATATCTTCGTGGTGTAATTTAAGATATCTTTATTTATACACTTGCATAACATTCTGGCTATAAACAAGCGGAGTATCTAAAAAACTTTATAAACAAGCGGAGTATCTAAAAAACTTAGTAATTCGGGTCTGTTTTGACAGTCTGGAGAACTGGCTGAAAGTGTGTCGAAAATAATTGATTCTCAGTTAGCAGATGGGGTGGATATGTCTGAAGTTCAGGTACTAAGCTATTTCATGAATGGTCCATTACAATTACATAGTGATTCTACTGTTTGCTTTTTCACAATTTCAAAAAACCTTGCAGGATGAATTTTCAGCAGTTATAACAAAAGCATTAGTAACCTTAGTTCTTGGACTGGAAACTAAGTTTGATGTTGAAATGGCTGCAATGACACGCGTGCCATGGGGTAGCCTTGAGAGTGTGGGTGACCAATCTGAGTAAGAAAGTTTCTCTAAAAACTTGGAACACTTATTAATTTAACCTTGAACATTACCACATTTAACCATATCCACTTTATTGCAGGTATGTTAATGGAATAAATATGATCCTTACTAGTAGCATTCCCGCACTTGGGAGCCTTCTTTCCCCCATTTACTTTCAGTTCTTCTTGGATAAGGTAATTTTACAGAGGACTACCAATATATGTGTGGCCTGATATGACTCATTAAATTTGGGTATATTTAGGTTTGATTTCTATTTTTTATGTCCTTTTATTGATGCTTAATGCCCATGTTTGCCAAGCTTCATAAATTTGTTTAGTGCCATCTATTTTTTCCCAACTTAATAATTGAATGTTGTAGTTTATCTAAAATTATGACCTTTCTTGGCATCGTTCATTCTTCAAAGGTTCAAGATGCATTTTATTTGTCTTCTGAAAGCCGTAAAATACACAATATTCTGCCAAAGTGATCTCATATCATACATCTTTTCAGAGTATCTTTCTGTGAAATTGTACAGTAGCTCATTGCCCTTTTGTTTTTTGTTAATCTATGCAGCTGGCATCATCTCTTGGTCCACGATTCTATGCCAATATTTTCAAATGCAGGCACATATCAGAAACTGGAGCCCAACAGGTACCGACCATTTTCAATATCTATGTTTGTTGTTTGTCAAATGGAGTGTGTTTGTAGCTAGAAGATGGACTAGTGTAATAATATAACCATGGCTTTAAAAGAAATTTTAGCTTACATGTAAAACCTCTAGGATTATTTCTAAAAGATTTGATGGGTTGGTATTCAATCTCTGTTGTGCCTCAATTCTTAGATCTCTAATTACTGCCTCAAGGTGTCGAGCATGAATAAGTCACAGGATATTCACCTTGACGTTTGCATTATATTGATATGCTTCTCATGCACTAAAATGATTTTGTGTAAATGTTATTTCTTGTTGAAAATGCTTTATTTCTTGATATGTTGCAGTTATATATTGTTCTGAATTAATAAAATAGAATTGCTTGCCTAGCATCAATTTTCTTTTCTAAGTTATTTTTATTTGATTTCAGTGTTGGTTTTACTTGATAACCTCTGTACAAACAAGTGACACTTGATATCAATTGTATTTTAAAAGAAGAAAGTTACTGGAAATTGCTTCCTTTTCTTGCAATTATTGTATATTCTTGTTGTTTATCCACAAATAAATGCTAAGCTTTTATATCAATACTTTTCCTCGTATGTTATTAACACTTATTTTTTTTCCTTCGTGAATTGTCATAACCATTCTATTGATACTTGTAAATTTTTTTGGCACTTATCATACTCTTACAAATGCATAATTTTTTGGCTATGATCTTTGTGATTTACTCGTTTGCCTCAGTGATAAATTGTAATCCTGTTGCAGATGCTATTGGATACGCAAGCTGTAAAAACCATTCTTTTAGACATACCTACACTTGCTCGACAGGTGAGTTGATGCCCTTAATAAACATCTGTACTTATACAATACGATTGAAGAGTCTAGATTATAATTGTAGATTTTCCCTTGTTGAGTGCTCATCAACATCATAGTCATCATCCCCTTGCACACTAATGAAAACGTACTGTTAGTCATAACTGATATTTTGATGTGGGCTTTGTTTGAATTTGTTTGGGGACATCTAAAAGACTGATTGTTATTATAACCAGCATTTTACAGAAGCAAATTATTTTGTCTACTATCAAGTTGCACTGGAATCAACCATAACATTTTGTTCATTGTTAACTTTGATGCTTTGGTAGTTAAAGGTCTTTAATTGAATTTCTTTGAGACCTCAGCGAATTTACTTCATGGAATTTATGGAGAAGATCCCTAGTTTCCATTTGGCTTCATCAATGCTATATTATTTTTGCGTAACTTAAAGTTTGATTGCAACCGTTGAAACATCCTACTACTTTTGTTCTTCCTTTGTCTTTATTATTTATCCATCCTGTTTTTCCACATTCATACTGACCATATTTCTTTGGAAGTATAAATCTTTGAAAATGAGCTTGAAGATTGAGTAATACTAGCCTTACAAAGAGGCATACAAAAAGCCATATAAAGAGTCAAATCCAGCCTTTGAAAGAAGGGAAAAAGAGAGAGAGAAAGAGACAATCATGAATTTCAAGTGTTGAATTTGACTCTTTATATGCCTCTTTGTAAGGCTAGTATTACTCTTGAAGATTATATGCAGATAAATTTCATGGGTAACATTTCAAATCTGGGTTAGTTTTGTTATGGTCAGGCAAGAAAGAATATAACTAGTTATGAATCTGCTTATTTACAACTGAAAGGTAGCACCAATGTGTTTATCCTCTTGACTGAGGACCCAATTCAAGTTGAAGAAGGGACTGACTGGAATAGAAAGTAACTGTCAGGGAACATATGAAATGTTCTTTTCAATCAAGTAGAATGATGAATAAGAAGATTGAATTGGTTGTCATGGTATTTTAAATGTGATATTAGAACTATCAAAAATTTGTGAGTTGTATCATCTAATAGATGAAAAATAACATATTTTACCAGTTACGAATGATTTTAACAATAAAATTAGTTGTTAGAAACCATTTATATATTATATGCTTTTGTTGTGATTGCATTGCAAATCCATGAAAGTATCATTGGCAGGGCTTTGTTTTTCAAATTATACACAAATCTAAGACTGTGGTTGGTAGAGTATTTAAAATAGTATTTTTGAAAAAGTTGAGTTGGGTTGTTATTACGAGAATAGAATTTGAATTTAAAAATGTGTTTGATAAATTTTTGGAAAACATTTTCTGAAAATATTAGATTATTTTTAATCGCTTACATTTGTTAATTTAGCTAAACATCTCCTACAATAAAAGTTTTAAAATTAACAAAAACATCCTCACCCACCCATTAAATGCCGGTAGTCGGCCACCACTTCCAGACGGTGGCCAGAAGTAGCCAGAATGGCACACCACCGGGCGCTGATCTGGCCTTTTTCAGCTAGATCCACCATGGATCTGGCTGGAAACAACCAAATCAACAGCTAAAGATTTGGCTGTTGACGGCCAGATTTGGCCAGTCTGCCATTGACGACGGCCAAGATATGGCTATCGTTGACGACCGATCTGGCCGTCCCGTTAACGGCCAAATCTTTGGTCGTAGATATGACCTTTTCTAGCAAAATCCGTCGGAAAAGGTCAGATCGACACACAACCGGCCACATTCAGCTAGTTGTGTGCCATTCCGGCAGATCCGGCCACCTTTCGGTGGTGGTGGCTGGCTGCTGGCAATATGTGGGTGGGTGGGGGTGTTTTTGTTAATTTATAAATTTTTATTGTTGGAAGTGTTTAGCTAAATTAACAAACATAGAGGGTTAAAAAAAGTCTAAATATTTTGAATTGAATAAAATAAAATTGGATTTTGAGAATATTGAAACAAATATGTATTTTGAATAGGATTGGATAAGATAGTATTTTGAATAGGGAAACAAACACAGCCTAGACTTCTTTACCAGTTCATTTATTTTTCTGATACAGACAGCAAGTGCTGCTAGCTATTCAAAATTTGTGAGCCGTGAGATGAGTAAAGCTGAAGCTCTTTTGAAGGTTTGTGATCAAATTACTGATGGGTTTGTCCTCTGACCAGTTACATGTTTTATTCTCAATTTAAACTTTTGTTTTAATCTACAGGTTATACTATCCCCAGTAGATTCTGTAGCAGATACATATCGTGCATTGCTACCAGAGGGAACACCAATGGAATTTCAGCGTATTCTAGAGCTTAAGGTTACATCAAGTAGCACATGCTTCTTTTTCTTTTTTCTTTTTTTTTTCTTTTTAAATTCACTGAAACATCTACAATTAAGATTTGATATTGGATGATTTAATTTTTAGGCAGGACTCTTTATTCATTTTTAGGCAGAAACCTTACATAGTTAGCAAAGTAGAACAACCCATATAGACTGAAAAGAGAATAAAGACCCTCGGAAAAGTCCAATATTAATAGAAGAAATGAGGATTGTACTCATTTACAAAATTTAAAATTACAACATAAAATATTTTTAAAATTGAATTAATGGTAATTGTTTATGTTATATTCCAACTTCTGCCATGCAAGCTAGTTCTTTATGCAGAAGTTGTCCCAATGCGAGAGTGGTGGCATTTGAGGGAGGTATTAAGTGGGGATACTATGAACTCAGCCCTAGCTAAGTTGACTTGAAGTTTTTTTATTTTTTTATTATTATTTTGTTTTTTTATCTGCGTCCCCAGATGGACATCATTTCTTATATATCGCTTGTCTATATAATCACTTTTGTTCAATAACAAGATTTTCCCAATAGTGATCCAAAAAGCAAATCTAGAAAACACAACACGCTCAAGATTGGAGAGCCAAAAAGCAAATATTAGAAAATGATTTCTGGGGTCTCTTCTTCTTGTTTCCCGAATGTGACACAAGGCTCAAAAATGTATTCTGTGGCCGAGGACGTTGTTTCATCTTCTATGGAAGTAAGTTCAGGTCCAGATACTCACTCTAATTCTCTTCTTTACACTCTTTCTTTGCTTAAAGACAAGGTCCATCAGGTTCAATCTGTCGTCGGCATTCTCATCTCCCCAGATCATCAAAATCAGCCTGAGTCGACCTCCATAGCTGTGGCCAGCATGGGTTCTTTAGTTCAAGAAATAATCGCGGCGGCTTCTTCAATGTTGTTCACTTGCCAGCAAATGACTCTTCGATCCCCTCCAGGTAACAATAACACAAATATTGAATTGCACCAACATCATGATGTTAAAGTTGCTGATGCCGCCGCAGGATTATCGCAACCAAATAATTTTGATGGCAATATTAATAATCGTTTCGGTAACATCGGCCAAGAAAGAGGGCAACAAGGTTTCTGTTCTAGTGTGAGTTTCGATTGGTATGGCGACAATATCTACAACTATGGTACGAACGATAATAGTCAAGGCACGCATAATCCGAGCAACGATAATAGAGTTGAAACTGATCATGAAGCGAGGGAATTGTCGCGAGGCGTTGAGTTTAGTGAAGGTCATGAAGGATCACAGGGGCTTTCTTCAAGCAGTAATGATATTATCGAATTGAATGCGGCTGATTTATTAGCCAAGTACACACATTATTGTCAAGTTTGTGGTAAGGGTTTCAAGAGAGATGCAAATTTGAGAATGCATATGAGAGCTCATGGTGAGGAATACAAGACTAGCGCAGCCTTGACAAATCCTTTGAAGAACATGAATGTAACAATGGGAAACAAAGAGTCTGCCATGAAAATTACTAGAAAATATTCATGTCCGCAAGAAGGGTGTAGGTGGAACAAGAAACATGCCAAATTCCAACCACTGAAATCGATGATTTGTGTGAAGAACCACTACAAGAGGAGCCATTGCCCCAAGATGTATGTTTGCAAGAGATGCAATAGGAAGCAATTCTCGGTGCTTTCTGATCTTCGGACTCATGAAAAGCACTGTGGGGATCTCAAATGGCAGTGCTCATGCGGTACCACATTCTCCAGGAAGGACAAACTAATGGGTCATGTTGCTTTGTTTGCTGGGCACACCCCACTCATCATTGCTAATTTGAAGAAGCCCGGAAAAGTACTGGACCACCAATTACCACAAATATACAACTAGATAATAGGTAAAGAGGAATTTTTGCTTTCTGTTTTTTTTTTTTTTTTTCTTTTTTTTAAGTCATCAAGTATAGTTGATAAATTCATGAGAAACTTGAAAATATTCTGGTAGAGTACATGCTTTTGTTACCTTTAATGTAATTAAAGAGTTGCTATATATTAAGAAGTGAATAAGAGCCATGTTTTGGATAATCAGTTTATCATTAGATTAAATCAATTTCATGATTTATATGCTAATTTAGCTTCCATTTTCATTGATTATATCTTAGGCCGGGGTTGATCAATGATGCGGAGTACTGACTAGTATGGCTTCTATTCTCCGTGAAAATGGGTTTGTGTTTCTTTTGGTAAGCTCATGTATGACTCTTAAAGGTGTAGCAGTACTTTTTTTTCTTTCTTTAGCGATATACTCTATATATTGTATACGAATGAACACTGAAATGGTATTAATTTATAGATTAAGAAGGCTTTTCTATATATATATATATAAGAATGAATATTGAAATGGTACTAATTTATAGATTAAGAGGTTTTATTGCATATATAATTACAGTACTATATGATTAACTAAAGAGGAGATTTGTGGTTTTAATTAACCTTTGAATGCATGAGCCGATGATACTTATCAATAAATATGTCTTATAGATATATATGTTTGTGGTCATCTTCATCTCCTTTGCTATATCATCAATTCCAGCCAAATGTGCGAGGTTGCTTCATATCATACCATTACTTACAATTCTTCCCTAATAATTTCCGGTTTGATTTTAAGCTTGACAATTAACCGCTTTAGTAGTTGTTGAAGTGATAAGTTTCGTTTTCCTAGCTAGGTTTAGTGAAGAAGCACGCAATATTCGTAGCTTGACCTCATTTCTTGATAATTTGGCCATGAAAATTAGTTAGAGTAATAATGATTTTGATAGTACACTGAGTTAAGTAGTTGGGATGCCTCTATACAAAGCTGAAAGTATTATCAAACAGCTACAAATTTCTTTTCTTTTTCTCTTTCTTTCATCTATTTTTTATTAGTTGTAGGTTATATATTTAATAAAAAATAATTAAAGAATTCCTCATGATGAAACACATGATGGATTCTTAATTTCTTTTGAAAGTGCTAGCTACCAATTAAGTGCTTTTGCTGGAAGCTGTAGATATCAAATAAATTTAAAAAAAAAAAAAAAAAAAAAAATTCCTAAAGAAAATTAAAACCTTATGATTTGATTGTGTCTGAGCTTTTATTTTAAGCTGTTGGTTTACGTTTAATTTTAGCACTATAAGGAATTTCACTATAAAAGTACCACATCGCGCATAAGTGAATTGCAATTTGAATACATGTAGCGACCTTCATGACGTTTGAGAGATACGTAATGCTGTTCTATAGAATCATGTTTTGAGATTCTAGAACTGGACCGAATATTTAATCGATTAAATTTTGCAAGTTGGTAGATTGGTAGAACTACTTTAGATTGAGTTTAGGACACAAAAAGATCTGAACTCTTTTGTATTTAGAATTAAAGTAAGCCTGAATTGGATTGAGTAGTGGAACTGTTTGATGCAGAGTTCCATATATACATATATATGGAACTGAATCATTAATAGTCACGTCGTATGCATGTTGCATATTCAAACTGTCATTAGGAGCAAAACAAAACGTACTTTTAATCACAGTACAGTAGTCCCAACCCCAAACAACGTCTCTCGTATAATTGGATACGTAAGACGTAGCAATTCATTCTTTTTGCGGATACATGTTTGCTACATAAACCCCACATTCTCAAATGAGCTAGAATTTCGAATGCACCTAAAATTCATCACTTTTATTTTAATCAAACACAAATCCCAAGTTTAGCATTAGGATTTTGAAGAAATTAAGGGAGGATCTGATGATGGCTGGAGATTGAAATTTCACAGTCTCACTGGTACTGATTTTTGGCAAAATTAATTCTTTTTCTTTTCTCGATTGGTATGGTATATATATGCAAGTGATTTTTTTATGTACGCTTGATTGCCAATGCTATTTTTATCATGAATGTTTTTAGTTTAGTTTTGTTGAGATTTTGCTTTGTTGTGGTTTAGCTAGGGTTAAAAGAGAGATTAGGTGTGAGAGAAGGAAGAAAGAAAGGGTTGAATTTATGGTGAAGGAGGGGCGATATAGATCTTCTCTTTGTTAAGTTTTTGTTTAGGTATCTTGATTGCAAACTGTCAATTATAGCCCAAAGCATAGTCGAAAAATTTGAAATCATTGATTACATGAAGTTTGTACAAGCTTAATATCAATTTCACATGCCAGAACCAATTTCAATTAGTCAATTTGAAATTCCCTTCTTGTGAGGATTAGTCCTCAATAATTATTGATTGAAGATTGAGCTTATATAATATGTTGTTATGCCAAACAATTTATATATAAACTAGACATGGGGCCCGTGCATTGCATAGGTAATTTTATTCGATGTTTTTGAAATAGATTGTAAACAAATTTATTATAACAAAATAAACTAATTAGATTAAGACATAATAAGTGTTAAATTACATAAATTTTACAGTAAATATAAATTATATATTGTGTTAAGATAAAATTAATAATTGTACCTGTATAATTATTAATATCAATTATAGGTAGATGTTATTAAATCATTCATCCAACTTGAGAAGATCACCTGAATATTATATGGTCTAATTATATTTTCAGGATCATCACCTTATACAATTGATATTATTTTTGCAGACATGTCTTTGATAATTGATGTTATTATTTTGTAGTGAATCGTGTATGATATCTAATAGCACCTTAATATTATCAAGACCAACTATTTAAACTCAAAATTTATATTGACCTTCCACAATTTCTGTAACTTATATTCATTTTCAAGTTGCGTTGCGCATGTATATTTATTATATTTTTTTTACATTATTATTGATTTTTTTGTGTTTTAAACATATATTTTCTATATTGAAGTTTATTTTATATTGAATTGATAATTAAAATTTAATAAATAAAATGTCCACAAATTGAACTCAAAGTTTATATTATCATGGCTCTTCTCAAATATGTTACCATTTGACATTTGCTAAGTGAGAAGAAAATCAAGACGAAGAAGAAAGTGAGAAAAATCTGTTGAGAACTTTGCAACTTGCTTTTCATTAAGAGTAAAGTCAGTTATAGAGCTATTTATATATACAAAACAAACTTGAGTCAACAAGTCAACACACGCTGGTCAACAGTTCAGTCAACACCAATCAACAGGTCAACTTTGTACACTAATCCTAACATCCTTCCGTAAATTGAACCTCCCATGATCTTGGTGCTTCTTCAGACATTAAAGCAGCAAAAGAAACAGAAAACAGAGCTTAGACAACTACATAGTTTAGACAGTTGCATCATGTAGAAAAACCAATTGACAAAGTCACTCAATGCACTGCAAGCACTTATTTTCTTTGTTCAACTGCTGTTGTTACTGCCAGTGGAACAAGTGAGACTGCCATAACTGTCCAATCCATACGTAAGGCACACCAATTTAGTCACAACAGAGATGACTAATGCACAATGTGAATCACTGTTAGCTGTGGCTTTAAATGAAACCAGAACAAGGCTGGTTTCACAACACCAGAAATACCAAAACAAGGCTTCTCAACAAGGCTGGTTGCACAACACCAGAAACACCAAAACAAGGCTTCTCAACATGGTTGGTTGCAAAACACCAGAGATACCAAAACAAGGCTTCTCTACATGACTGATTTCACAACACCAGAAGTACTAAAACAAGGCTTCTCAACATGGCTGGTTTCACAACACCAGAGATACCAAAAACAAGGCTTCTCAACATGACTGATTTAACAACATCAAGAATACCAACAAGGCTTTTCAACATGACAAGAATGTGTCAATTCACAATACTTTCACAACACCAAAAAAAAGGCTACCAAAACAATTATCAATTGACTCACTATGATAGTAGATTAGAGAAGTATGTTGTTGCTCATTTTGACTGCTATAAGTTGAGAGGCTGAAAGCTGATTATAAAGACTTTGGAGCATATGGAGCCTGAACATTAAGCTGATCTCTCAGAGCTTCAAACTTAGAGGTTGAGAAGGCCTTAGTAAATACGTCAGCTTTCTGAAACTTAGTAGGTACATATTGCACTTTCAATTTATTAGCTGTGACTTGACTTCTCACATAATGAGCATCTAGCTCAATGTGTTTGGTCCTGCCATGGAAGACAAGATTAGAGGCAAGGGACCCTGCACTTTGGTTGTTGCACCAAATGATAGGAACTTCACTAACATCCAATCCTAGTTCAGAGAATAAGCTACTAAACTAAGCAAGTTCAGTAGAGCCTTGTGTAAGAGCTCTATATTCAGATTTAGTCAAGGGCAAAGCCACAACTTTCTGCTTCCTAGAATGCCATTGAATCAAATTTGAACCAAGATACACACAGCAACCACTAGTGGACTTCCTGTCATGAAGGTTGCTTGCCCAATCGGCATCAGTGTAACATTCCAAGTTAAATCTGTGACTTTTACTGAAGTGTACACCATAATTTATGGTGCCTTTAATGTATCGAAGTAGGCGTTTGCAGGCTTGCCAATGTAGCTGAGTGGGAGCTTTCAAAAATTGGCTTAATTCGTTGACAGAATATGCTATGTCAGGTCTGGATAAAGTGAGGTATTGCAAGGCACCTATGGTACTTTTATAGAGGGCTAGGTTATCATATAGTTCACTATCTTCCAAGGATAATTTGGTACCAACTACCATAGGTGTAGGACATGGTTTACAGTCCATCATTTTAGTCTTCTCTAGGAAATCTTTAACATAATTTTCCTGATTCATATGTAAACCAAATGCATCCCTGGTGACTTCAAATCCCAAAAAATATTTCAAGGAACCCAATATCTTCAAGGCAAATTGAGTGTTGAGTTTATGAACTATTTGTTGAACTGAATTGGAATCACTCCCTGTCGAGAGTATATCATCCACATAAACTAACACATACATTGTCTTTCCTTCTTGATGATAGATAAACAAGCTAGGATCTACAACTAAATGACTAAATCCCCCGGCCAAAAATGCCTTCTTCAATTTGTCAAACCAAGCCCTTGGAGCCTGTTTTAGGCCATAGAGAGTCTTGTTTAACTTGCAAACATGATGAGGATTCAAAGAATCAACAAAACCCTCAAGCTGAACCATATAAACCTCTTCAGTCAAATCACCATTTAGGAAACATTGTCTATATCAACCTGCTGTATATCCCAATCAAGGCTCAAGGCTAGACTCATAATTACTCTCATAGTTGGAGACTTAACAACTGGGCTAAAGGTTTCAAGGTAGTCGATACCAAGGGTCTGCTGGAACCCTTTAGCAACCAATCTTGCTTTGAATCTCTGTATAAAGCCATCAGGGTGGTGTTTCATTTTGAAAACCCACTTGCAGCCTACAGTATGAATATCAACAACAGCTGG